GCAGACTGCAGCCCCCCAGCCAGGGCTGCCCCCTGCTCACACACACAGCCCAGCTCAGCTGCACCAGCCTCAGCCTCACACCTGGGCCCTTGCACCTGCTCAGAGTGTAAATCAGGTGCCTGTGCCATCCCCAGCTCGTCCTCAGCTGCAGCTTCCGCAGCCTCCGGCAAAGGTTATTGCGGTGCCACAGCTTCAGCAGCGAGTCCAAGTGCTCTCCCAGCCACACGTGGCTCAGACACAAGCCCAGCCAGGCAGTGTGCCCCAGCAGCTCAAGCTTCAGTTACCTGTTCAGATCCAACAGACTAGCCCAGTGCAGGCTCACCAGGTTCACAGTGTGGTAACAGTGCGAGCAGCTAGTGTTCAGGAGCAGCTGCAGAGAGTTGAGCAGCTCAGGGAGCAGCAGCAGCAGAAAAAGCAGCAACAGACAGAAATTAAACGTGAGCACACCCTTCAGGCTTCTAATCAAAGTGACATTATCCAGAAACAGGTAACGTTAACGGAAGGAAATGAACACTTAATGAATGAAACACATCTCATTTGAAATGCCTGTTCTTGTTAGTGGTGTTAATACATTTGATAGGCAGTTAATTTGATTTTTTCAAAGTTAGTGCACGATTGCTTTTGGCAATTTAATTAACTCTGCTCAGTTAATTCAGCACATGGAGTCACTTGTACATGTTTGCATTCCTCTGTCACCTCGATTCAACTTGCCACTAGCTCCTGTGACAATCTGTCTTTACTCTGAGTTCAGGAGGGAGAGGTCATAGCTAGGAGAGCTGATGGTCAGAACACATGTGCAGTACTTTCATTCCCTGCAAACTGAGGCTCCAGAGAGGTACCTGAAATGTCATACTGTTGGATGGCTCTGAGGCTTAAACAATACATGTATATAATAGACTCTTAACCATTTTCAAAACTAAACCAACCAGTCATGGAGGAAATACAATCAATTTGCATTTAGTCCCTAGCTTCAAACGTGACGTAAGCAAAACATCCTGCTCTGGGGGTGGTGAGGGTGTTCATTTTGAATTTCTTTTTCAATTTGCAAATAACTGCTTCAAACAAGCACTGCTCCCCTAGTAAAATCAGCTTTATTTTGCCCCTTACTGAAATAATAGCAATTTAACATGCTCTTTGCCCTGGGAAAGGTCCTGGTTCTCCCAGCAGTCCTGTGAAATGCTGGCTAATGTTTTCATCTTTTATGTTGGCTTCTGTACTGTCCTGCAGGTGGTTATGAAGCAGAATGCTGTCATAGAACACTTGAAACAGAAGAAAACACTGACTCCAGCTGAGAGGGAGGAAAATCAGAGGTGAATGTGCATCCTTGTGCATCTGTAGATGTGAAAGTTTTACGTGTGTAACATCTGATGGTGGCATAAAACACTGGTTTGTAAAAACCTGCTTACAGAAATGTTGCTGTTTTAAAATTGGTGCAAGTAGCACTCAGAAATAACTTTCATGATCCTCTTAACTTGAATCCTGTATGTTCTCAGCTTCATTACATTTTTGAAGTGAAACGTTGCACTGCATTTGTTTGGAGCTTGCCACAGTTTTCAAACTCAAGGTAAAAACCATCCTTAATGAGCACAGAATGGAGAATTACTGGTTCTGTTGCAAAAAAGCCTGGGTTTTGTTTGTCCTTTATCATGGCACTTTGTTTCCATTCCTGTCCTCTGTACATCCCACTCTACAGAAGGAGCTCAAGAGCTGGAAGACAGTTCGACAAACCGAGACATTTTATCCTTGAAGCTGCTAAACACAAATTTGAAGTGTTTGTCATTTGTCTTGGGGTTATTCTGTCTCCTTTTCACTCATGCAGTTGCTTCAATTAGATAATCACAAGTGTGTGTGTCAGATACTGAGAAAGTGTTACAAAATTTTGCTCATCAACAGAAGGAGCTCAAGAGCTGGAAGACAGTTCGACAAACCGAGACATTTTATCCTTGAAGCTGCTAAACACAAATTTGAAGTGTTTGTCATTTGTCTTGGGGTTATTCTGTCTCCTTTTCACTCATGCAGTTGCTTCAATTAGATAATCACAAGTGTGTGTGTCAGATACTGAGAAAGTGTTACAAAATTTTGCTCATCAAATCACAGGCTCGTGTGTCAGATACTGAGAAAAAGTGTTACAAAATTTTGCTCATCAAATCACAGGCTCAGCTGATTACAACACTGTCACCGAGTGCTACTCGTTTCAGGTTCACAGTTGCACAGAGAACAAGATGGATTGGATATGCTCTTCATTGAATGGTGTCAGACAGCCAAATTGGTGTTTTGGCTGACAAAGGTCCAATTTAAAAAAAGCAGGAAAAAGAGTTCTGAGTAGCTTGGTTCATGGTGCAGCTGGCTTTCATCTCACTGATTTATTCTTCTGCAAAAATGGCATCTGGGCATCTTTAGGCTGTGCAAAAACAGACTGAACCAAGTAGAGAAGAGTGCAGGTATAAAGAGCAAAGTAAACTAAGTTGTATGGCCCTACAAAATGCTTAGCATGTTGAATTTATCATCAAAATACAGCTGACAAAATATCTGAGTCCAAGCACACAGTGTTAGCAGCAGCTGCTTGTCCCAACATTGCTATTCTGTTGTTTCCTCTCAGCTCAGTGGGAGTTGTTTTTCATGGTCACTCTGGCAACCAGAAGCATTTTGTTTTCTAGTGGGTTTGGAATAGAATGGGAAGGGGAAAGTAAATGGAGAAGAACCAAAATACATTCATTTTCTAATTGAAATATAAAGCAAAATAAGTGAAAATTGCAGAGCAGGTGAGCAGGAAAATAGATTTAGAGTTGAGTGGACAACGAGCAGGTGAAAAGTTAATCCTGTGGTGTCATTGGTGAAGAAATTGGGAACTGTTTTATAGTGAGTTCTGCACAGTGAAAAACATGTGTCAGCTCTCATGCCAAAACAGTAAAACTTAGTAGTATTTGGGGGTCAGTGGAGTGTGGAAATGTCTGGGTCAGAAGTCACTTTCACCCTAAATCAGCATAACCACAGAGCTCTCTGAAACAAAATTGTGGAACTGAATCGAGTGAGAGTCTCTCATCGTCCTGAAGCCAAAGCTTTGTTAGGAGCTGAGTGGGGGAGGGGAGGAACAATTAGTACTCAGATCAGTTAAATGAAATTGGGACTGGCCCTCTTGAGCCTAACGAGTGACTTGATCTCTCCCAGCAGTGTCCTAGTAAATAAGCAGGAGTGGAAGCAATGAGTGTTACTAAATTTACCTTGTGCCTCTTAAGAAATACAATAATTTAGCTTGCAGCGACTGGAGAACTGAGTCTGCACCTCAGCTGGGAGTAAACAGGCAGCTCAGCACAATGTGCTTTTCTTTTATTCCTTCCCCAGAATGATTGTGTGCAACCAAGTGATGAAATACATTCTGGATAAGATAGACAAAGAGGAGAAACAGGCGGCGAAGAAACGGAAGCGCGAGGAGAGTGTGGAGCAGAAGCGAAGCAAGCAGAATGCCACCAAGCTCTCAGCTCTGCTCTTCAAGCATAAAGAACAGCTGAAAGCTGAAATCCTGAAAAAAAGAGCACTTCTGGACAAAGATCTACAGATTGAAGTGCAGGTAAGGGCTAATCTGTTCTTACAGATGGGAAGAACGTTTGTGTTCATCTGTTTGCTCCGTGAGGGTTTAAGGAAACTTAGAGGAAGAAGCTGTGACTGTGGATCTCTCAAGCTAGGAATGTCATTTTTGTGCCTCTTGGTTTTCTTCTGGACTAGAATTGTTGTCTCATGATAAGCTTCTGATAAGTTACAGCCAGTGGGCCATAGTAGCCCAAGAGTGTCATCCCTTAGTGTTACGTGAGTTGTGGGTTAATAAAGGGTAAAATGCCTATTTCGATGGCTTTAATTCTTTCCTCTTGGTTAAGCCTGGGGATTTTTGCCTAGATTTTAACCCTGTCTTGAAGTAATCGTATGAAGTGCCTCCCTCTCTATTTCTTCCTTTAATACACTTCAGGAGGAGCTAAAGAGAGACTTGACTAAAATTAAGAAAGAAAAAGAGAGAGCCCAGGCAGCAGCTGCAGCAGCAGCCGC